CCCATGGCCTTCGAAGATAACCTTCTACAGCAGGCTGTTGCTGTTGTTGCCGCGCAACATCTTGGCTCCCGACATCCCTCCTGTCGAGCGGCAACCGAGTCGCGCCGATCGGCAATAATTTCTCGGCTACGACGTGATTCTCAGCTTGGCTCACCCGAACTCGTCTTCAATTCATCGACTTGGGCAACGCTGATAGTGCTACTTGTGGGGGAAACCGTTACCGGTAGCTCCGAGTATAGCCACCTGTTGCGAACTCTCCTCACTCTGGCCCAGAACATGAAATCTGTCGGAAATAGCGAGCTGAGAGATTTTCTTACAAAGCAGACGGACATGTTTGCGTTCCTAGGACAGCCACTTTTGAACGCAGACCTAGGCGCCGAGAGACTTAGAAACCCGGTTGACCCAAGTGTCTGGATGGCTTCAAGAGTGAATGCTGATTCGCACCATCACAGAACATTGTCGCTTGTCAGACAGGCCTTCTCAAAAGGTGCACAGATATACTTACAACGTGTTACCACCAACCAAAGCTCGTGGCATGTTTTGGAAGAGCTGCGCCGGCTTCTTTGTCAGATGAGCTCCACGGAGCCGGGTGCTCATGGATTTGTATGGTCATGTTTCATTGCAGCAGCGGATAGCGTGGATCCCGAGCACAGAGCCTTTTTCAGCGACTATCTGAAAGGGGTGTATTCTCGAACAATGTTCGACAATATCCCCAAAGCTCTTGACGCCTTGCCTGCCATTTGGGATCTGCAGGGTTCCGCAAAGTGGACCGAGAACCTGCCCCGTCTGTCACCTATCTTGATCATGTGATCAGTACATCCCATATGGGGTTTAATCACCACTGCCAGCATAATAGCTGGTCACCTCCAATCTCAAGCTCGTAGCCGCTGTAACAGCCCCGGACAGCAGGGCTGATGTTGACGAGTCTCCAAGTTGGCTACAGTGTCTGCTGAAGTGGAGTTTATTGTGAATAATTCGACATCAACTAACAAGCGCCAATCCGGCGACTTTCCCAAGTACGAGGTTGTTATGAATGGGACATACTATATTCATAAAGCTGGTCCCAGCTATATGAGCATTAGTGACTACTCTCTAAAGCTTATCGCGGACGCAGTCACCGACCAGCCGTCCTGTTACGGTATCACAAAAGAACTGACAGTCGGGTGAGACCACAGATTCCGAGATGCATGCGTTTCCTCGGCGCACAGGATGCATAAACATATAGCCTTCATAGGTCATCAATAAAAGTCGACTACTTGACTAATCAAATGGAACTATACAATCCATTCGCAATGGTAGCCTTTTTTGTCACTGTTTCTGCAGGTGATCGTGGAATGAAAGTATCGCACATTCCGGACAAAACACAGCCAGATAGTGAAGTCGCTCACCCTGGCAGAGAAGCTGTGTAGAACGTTGGGAATACAATTCTTCGCCACTTGTGAGAATCTATTTCCCCCACATATGAGAGCCGACTAATACACATTGTAATTTTGAAGCCTGAAAACTTTGTAGTGTGGGGCCATTAAAGCTCAGAAGAACTATGAGACCGCCAACTGTTATACTGTGAAAGGTCAATTACTTGCACGTGGTACATACGTAATGTGCGCTATACTTTGGGAATGTCGATGGATACCGATTGCAGATATATACGGGGAAGCTCAGCTAGAATGTGAATCACAGACCAGAGGTTGCGCAAGGCTGCGGACAATCAGGGTTCGCCACGTTGAGTTATCGTACAGGACAGCCTCAGGCGTCGAATATCCTTGTCTTCACTTCCATTGTAAGATGGAGGAAATTCGCGTCCTGAATATTATCTTTGCAATGAAACCTAAATTGCAAGAGTAGGAAAGAAACTAGCGCTTGCATGTGGAAATAAGCGGCTGACAGGGACAGCAATATCTACATCTCTTGTAATTGACTGGCCAAGTATTCAAGCTCGGAAGTGTCCGTGAATAGGAAAGAGGGAGTCCCCGGAGATTCAGGCATAAAACGAACGGATATTCACAAGTTTTAGGAAAGTTCTGATGGAGCTCCTTTCGCTACGAAGGGTATAAATACCAGCCAAGATCCACTGTGATAAGTTACCCTACCGACAGGTTTGCCAAAAACATGATGCAATAAATGGGGGCTAAGGATGGAAGGGACTCCAGGCTCTACCTTCTATCTAGACCTCATTAACACTTGTCCATGATGAAAGTATATATAATAATACAACCCTATAATGCATGGCCTTGCCGATTCCTTTACGAATATCTCGACACCACCGCCTAATGGGTGTTTGGCTAGCCATAGCTACTGATCATCACGAAGGCCGAGCTGATATTATCCCCTCTATCTTTTCCTCTACAACAATATATGCGGCTTTTCATTCCACGGATGGAAATCACTACTGCCATTCTATGAGAAGGGCCGACATGTATATCCGTTGTGGTTGGTCTCATCTGGTACCCCTTTCATGCCTCGCTTCAACTATGAGTTCCTTACCCTTCTGTGTCGGGTGCGACCAAGGGTCAGAGTCTCAAGAGAGTGAGACAAAAAAGAGTACGTGCAATGATTTACATTGTATACCCATTCGGAAGCCCTCTACTCCCTTCCCGATATTACCAACCTCACGAATATAGAGTACAGCCCATCATATCCCCTGTGTGCGCCAAACCAGTGGGCCCGCAGTATCTCTCCCGCAGGGGACCCGCCGTCAACCCCGGACGGTCCAATTGTCTGTCCACTCCAAATTCAAACGCCAGACCACAGATGCCCGCCAATATTGCCCCCTCATTTGATCTTTTCATCATACTCGTGGCAAGCTGCAAACTTTGCAATTCTTGGCTTTCCCACAAAGGCTTGATTATCCAAATTCCAAGTTGTGTCTCTTCAACTGGAACCTACCTGTCAAGCTGCTACTCTGAAACTCTTTCCTCACAGCAATTCTTCGAATTATGTTGCCAACCCTACGTCTCTTGGGACTGTCAAATATCTAACATGTCTGTCAGCCTCAGAACATTGGCTGTGCACACACTGGTTCGCTTGATATCACTATTGTCACTTAGTCCTATCGTTCAGTCATCATAATAGGACGTCAACGAATCCACACATGTAATGACGCTTCATGTCCAGCAAGGGGTCACCTTTCCAAGTGTAACCAGCATCACAACATACCTCAACCTATTCCTGGAAGGAGAGAAATTAGCGGACTATCTCCTCTTTGCAATCACAGTGGTGTCTGGTGCTTGGTCACCACTTCAATGATGTGCGAACTATTCTAGGATTACACAGTCTATCGGTCTAGGTCAGTCTTCGGCTGTTGGGAAGGGCCAGGGATGCAGGCTATCTCTATCATTCTCAAAAGCTTATCGAGGGTGGTGAAAAGACGGCTAACAGGAAGGATGACTTCGCGCAACATCACTTGCCGGAAGAATCATTCTGTATAATCCATACATTGTCTCTTAATATATAACGGGTGACAAACAGCAACAGGATGTATCAAAACTCTTCCTGCGTCGGTCATTCTTATATATTGTGCTTGCATTGAACCGATTGTCTCTGAAACAACGACCGATTATCCTGTGTGTGAGGCCGTTCATGAGAAATCTACCCCTGCCTTCCATTCGGCGTCTTCCTCGCAGGGGGAGCACCATGGAACAAGCCGTAAACCAGCGTATGGCACAGCTCTTCCTGTCCGAAATAAATACTGACTTTCCCCAGGGGGTTGGGGTGCCCGGAGGCAAATTGTGTACTGACAAGAATAAGATTATATGGAAAGACAACGGTATGTATGGCGGGATGGCCGCTCCCCCATTGAAGGCTCTTCCTGAGTTTAGTACACCACCTGTGAGACCTCGGTCATCCCATGCCTCATCACATAACTGTCACACACCGGTCACGTGACCCCCAGACCTAAAGGATTACTGACGGCAACCCCCTAGGAGATAATCAGGACACAGGACTTGCCAGAAGGCAAGTGAAGAACTAACCAAAGAATAAAAGGAAGGAACCGAAGGAACTGGTAGGGAGTTAATAAGAAAATAACAGGAAGGAGATAGAATTTACTGAGCGGGGATTGATCCTTAAAGATATATATTTTAGCTTAATTCCCAAGAAGTAAATAGTTTTCTTTTTTTCTCTAGATTTATTAGTCCTCGTGAATACACAGGCTTCATTCGGACACTCTTAGTCATTGTAGTCTTTCTAGGTTGTCACACCACCTATGCTTAGGAGAAGTTTGTTGACATCCACCAGGCCACAATATGTTCATTTAGCACGGTACATCCTGGGTTTCTAAGTTGCGAGATGATATTTATCTGGGCATAGAACATGAGAGTCTATCGTTCGAATTTAATTCAGTGGGATGGAAATGAGACTAATATTTATATAGTATCTGTCTATAAGCTACTGCAGGTAGCATTGAGGTTTCTGGCTGTCGTTCTGATATCGTGTCCAATGGTTCCTGGCTCTGCCCTTGCGTGTGGGTCTAATTTGGCATGATTCTTGGCAACTCGAGCAATCTACGCTACAACGATACAGGATCTGTTTAAATATTAGTAAGAATACATATGCAGTTAGGGAAGGTTTAACTTTCAATACACTCATAATTAAAGAATTTCGAAACAGAAAATCATAACATAAGGTCCAGATACACAAACCATAATCTTAGATATGTGATCATACATCTTGCCACTTCAATTCAGGTTTTTTTTCTGAACCCTGAACGTTGATGAGTTACGTCGACACATCCACGTCAGTTCGCAAGTTACATTATATACAATTAGTCATGACCTATCAATGAGGACCAAGATATACTTTGATAGTATCATAATGTCAAAATGGTGTGATGCCGTACGCCTTGAATAGAAGAATCATTGAGACAACGAGCTATATGCCTATGTTGTAAACGACATACTGTCTCCTGCTATTGATCGTGTTCCCTAACTGACTACCAACAAGGTATTGTTCCCAGCTATCTACTACTAGTAGCCGTTTCGCCCGTTGGAATTGCCATGATCACCATATCCACCATATCCAGATCCCCATCCGGGCCCCCAAGAATCAGCGTTGTCTTTGCTCACCGTCTTCTGCTCCGATCTCTGTATCAGACCGTCACCATTGCCACGATTAGACACCTGAGAACGACGATAGTTGAAACCGTCATCGCCCTCATCATCGCTATCATCACCGCTATCATCACAGTACACCCCCCGAACTGAGAAGAAAATCGGCGTTGTCTTTGCTCGCCGTCTTCTGCTCCGATCTCTGTATCAGACCGTCACCATTGTCACGATTAGACACCCGAGAACGATGAAGGATGAAACCGTCATCGCCCTCATCCTCACTGTCTGTCTCGCCCCCAAAATTGACCAAAAAATCGGCGTTGTCTTGACTAGCCGTCTTCTGCTCCGATCTTTGCATCAGACTGTTACCAGTGTCACGAGTAGACACGACGTGATGACGACGACCAGTGGAACCGTCATCGCCCTCATCATCACTATCCGTCTCGTCCCCAAGATTGACCAAAAAATCGGCGTTGTCTTTACTAGCCGTCTTCTGCTCCGATCTTTGCATCAGACTGTTACCAGTTTCACGAGTAGACACGACGTGATGACGACGACGACGACGACGACCAGTGTAACCGTAATCGCTCTCATAATCACTATCCGTCTCGTCCCCAAGATTGAGCAAAAAATCAGCGTTGTCTTTACTAGCCGTCTTCTGCTCCGCTCTCCGCCCAAGTTGTCCGCCCACAGTGTCAAGCAAAAAATCAGCGTTGTCTTGACTCGCAGTCTTCTCCTCGGATCTCTGCATAAGGTTTCCGCCCTCTTGGGATGGACCCGAGGTCCCACCGGCAGCGGCTACCGCGCCATGGTCTAATTCACCAAGTCGTAACCAGTTAGCAAATCAAGCCGGAAATCTTGTTACTGGGATGCGCGAGAAGAGTGAACATACGCGGAATGCGGGGGAGCGCTGTAGCTGTGGAGGCCAGGAAGGCCGTGGCCAGGAGTCCAACGTTGTTGAAATGCATCGTATTGGTTGGATTGGGATAATAGAGGACAATGTGGGATGATGGGCTGATCAAGCCGAGAAATCAAAAGAGTCTGAGCTGGATTCTCGGAAACACAAGATCGAGAGAGTCAAAGGACTTGCTGAGCCTGTTGAGAAGTCTGCTCTCTTGGAGAACCTTTCTTCCTATTTATGCATTTTCTAAACAGTATTTACTCACCTCTGCGCCCACTGTGGACGAGTTTCTCTCGGAAATCTCAGTTCAATATTTCACACCGCTATGCATTATTAGTTACATTGAACTATTGAGAGATTTGACAAACCCCCATAGATCCTCAATCGGAACCCCCGGCGATTCGAGAAGCCCCAGAGATCGGCAATACTATTAGAATGGGAATCATGGACAATGTTCAAATCGTCCAGGCGCAAGGTCGCTCAATCTATGTGTGTGGATCTAAGGAATACTTTCTTCCACCTGCTATTACTATCGATTCTAGGCGTATAAGGTGTCCTGATAAGGTTTGAGAAAACTCTAATTAGCGTATGACGAAGAGGAGTAAACACTGAGACGATCTAAATAGCTGAACCGGAGATCAAGTAACCGAGCGATTTGCCGAATCTTCACCCTAATATTGACCCACTTTGGTTGATCATGATCAAGATATGGGAAGCCCCACATACTACATTTGGTATGGCCTGCCTATTACCTATTGACAATAGTGGTTGATCTGGGATATTTCTCGCCGAGCTAGCCGCAACGCGGGAGTTGTACTCACTCCACACCGCCGGATGCGAGATTGAAGGGTACCTGCGCTTCTATTTCCCGCCTGGCCAAAACTCCTACAATTCTCCGTTATCTGTCTGCACTCTGCAGCCACTCTTCCGGGAATCTATATCACGTCAAGACCAGACATCTCCCACTTAACACAAGAAGTGCTTCACTATATTTGTCAAGTCAGAACTGGTGATTGAACTGTTACTTGCCATATGTAGGGACAGGGGAAAAGCAATGCAAACCTTAAAGGATGATTCCTTTCTTAGTGGGCCTTGGAGATCTGTGAAAGAGTTGGACAGGCGGAGTACGGAGTTGCGCCGATCTTCACCTTCTCCCCCCCTCCCGCTTCTTATCCCTTTCTCTGTTGCCTTTTTTTTTTTGCTTCTTTTTCTTGCTATTGTCATATAATCTCTCCGTTTGATGGCGTAATGCAATTGATATCCTTTTGACTCGGCAAAGTGGGAAAACAGTTATATATTGTTGTCGATCTCAAATGAAGAGAAAAGAGAGAATTCATTGTCTTTACCCCTTGAATAGCACCTTACCTGAACCACAAACCGGGAGCAGACATCATATTCCTTAGCAGCATATATGGTCATTTAAAGGAAGAAGAAGGTCGCGTTCTACACACGGACATCCTCGCTTCCAATCCCAGCATGTCTTACACTCTACTCAAAGAAGAGGAGGAGGCGGGCATCACCGTCACGCAAGATACGAGATCCCTGCCTACGTATACAACGAAAACCAGCAGAACTAGAGCACTGTCAAAAATTGTCGCTCTCATTCTTTTAGTCGTGGCTGCCTCCTTTCTCGGTGGCCTCTTTGCCCTGCTGGGATACCGTGTGCCCACATTCGCTATTCCTTCATCATCATCATCATCATCATCTTCTTCTTCTCCGACCTCCCCCTTCTTTCCAAAATCAACACCACACAAAATCACCGAACTACAATGTGGCACCTCCCCGGCTGAGGCCCGATCTCTCGGCTGTGTACTAGACCTCCTAGCCATGAGCTGGGTACGTCCCGCCTGCTACGACAAGGAGTTGACTGAGGAGTTCCTCGCTGTGAGGAATTGGACCTGGACTACAGACCCATGGGGCAAGCATCATCTCTCTAAGTCTGAGGTGCTTAACGGTGACTGGGAATACGTCTACGTCGACCATTGGTACCATGTGACACATTGTGCCTTCATGTGGCGGCGTATGGCGCGGGCAGTTCACGCCGGAAACCTGGGTGTGTTGGATAGTTATACGGCGGCCTATGACCACATTGAACATTGTGGTGATCGGCTGGTGGCTAACACGGGCGAGGAGGTGGTTGGTGTACCGGCCATCCTCAAGTATCCATCTTGTGGACCGGGGAGTCTGGGTCAGGAGCCCCCGGCGTATTGGATCTATGAGGGGGAGGTGCAGTATAATACGAAGAAGCAGGAAGGACTTTATGCTGATCAGATGAAAATGGAGGAGTAGGAGAATCTTCTATGATTCTGGTTGATGAAAGCAAATATAAACATCGTGTACGAAGTAAAATTGCCGCTTAGATTCGGAATGATGGAAAATTATATGTATTACCCATCTCGCCCGTGAGCCCCAAAGTAAAATGAGAATTATACCATAATAAGAGCCTTTCACTTGATTACAGTACAATCTTTCAGTAGTCCGTTACATCGGCGTTTCGCAACACAGTGGATTCTGGAAAAATTGGAACAATTGAATGGACCTGCTATGCAAGCATCAGAATGCTTCAGCTTGACCAAATACAGCAGTCATAATGTATTAGGGTCGTCATGTTGTGGCTATATCTATACCCTTCATGACAATATAGAAAAGGACCAGCGACCCTCGACGTCTGTCCGGGATTGATACTACTATTCCTCTTGCTTGATGTATGGTGAGGGATGCTGCTATCTTTAATGACATAGACATCGCTCTTGATCTGCTCCCTTTAAATTAAATGGACCTAAGGAGAAACCAATGACATACTGCTATAACGGAGCTTATGCCCCTAAACCCCATATTAACGCTGACTGCGTTCATCCCCTCAGGCGAAGAGGCAACCCCGCACTAAACCTGTTTTGTCCTCAAGCTCTTACTGGGAAGAATGATTGGTTATAGACGATTGACCGCCGACAGGTGGGGCGGCGGATGAATTCGAACTGAACTCAGCGTCGATTCCTGCCGCAGTTGCACCGTGACTTTCTTGGCCAAACAACGTGTCAACCCGCGCATGGCAGGTTCTCCTTACTCCCAAAACGAGACCTTCGTTCCTAGTTGCCTCACTGATTACAAGAATGAAAACATGCCGCCTCGGGCAAGTTTAGGCACGGTGAAATGTACGGTCGGACGCAGCCCAATCTTGTTGGAGCTTCTCATCAACGCTATCTACCTTTTCGGGTTTCCTTAAAATAATAGCAGTCTCTTTACAGGGCACAAGGCATGCCCGCTCTGCTACGTAGATGCAGCCTTTTGGGTACCCGATATGGTGATGATCGCAGTCCAAATCCCGATAGGGTGAACGTATTCTCTGGGCCCACCTCAAATGTCCGTGCTTGCACAGTAAGTACGCCGAAACTCAGCCTTGAGTAGAAGAGGTAAGTATTTTCCATTCGACAGACCAGGAAACCTTAGCGTTCCGAGTAATGCATACCATTTGGCAACTGCCAGTAGGTTTCGGATGATCGTACGTCACATGACCGAATCTGTATGCATCTCACTGAAATTTAAACAGCGTGGGTGCACCCACCGGCCGCATGGATTGTTGCCCACAAATAGTCCCAGAGCCATCTCACACATGTAGTGGTATAAATCCACTCTTCATCACGAAATGCGTCCCAATGTTTTCTTTCTCTCACCACCCAGCGAGAGACATGTCCATGGGAATTCTAGGACGTCTCTCAATATTCCTCACCGGAAGCTTTCAACTGCAACGCCATAAGCCGTATCCATGTCTTTCACGATGTCAACCAACGCAAGCACTTCTCATACTATGTCTCGACATACGGCAGGATTAACGAACGATCATGAAATGCGCAACCCGCAGGGTGGTATCTACACCCCAGAGTTCGCCTCCTTCAACCCCAGTCAACCAGGTGACTCGTTTATTTCCGCCGCTGTTCTCCCGCATCATCAGGTTCAAACACACATCGGCTTCACCTATCCAGTCGTTCCCCGCATTCCTGAATACCCTGCTCAATATCCATGGCATGGTGGAAGCGGGTACAATACGCCTACCGATCTGGAGCATTGGGACTTTGTTACCAGGCGTCAGCCAGGTATCGTACCTCAGGACGATTCTCACCAAGCTGGCACACTGCAAGAGAATGTTCCCTGGAATAGCTTCGTCATCCCGGCAGCAGTGGCTTCATCAACCAGGACAGCAGATAGCCAAATTGAAGGGTATGCCGACCGTCCTGTCATCCAAAGCAACCCCTGTGGACCTTTCGGCCGACAATCAAGCAGGGATACCAATCTTCGGTGCGGCTGGACGGATTGCACAGCCAGGTCAACCTTCAATAGATGGGAGGACTTGAGCAGGCACATCAAGACAATCCATGTGTTTCCTGCTTCTTATGTTTGTCGATTCTGTGATCGAACCTTCAATCGCAAGGACAACTTGGTAGAACATCAGTTACGCACTCATCGATCCCAATAACGCCTGCCTGCATTTCTTTCTCTTATCCCCCTATCTTTCCTTCCTTCTCCCTTACTTCTTGCCGTTTCTCTGTCTTCCATGCCCTTTGACTTTCACTTTGTTGTTGCTCACCCTGCTTTTTCCCTAGAGCTTTGCTGTTATTCTAGTGTCTAACGTCATATATTTTGGGCTATTTATTCTTCAGACCTGTTGATGCCGTCTGTAAACCGAGATGGGCCTTGTGTATGGCGTAGCTTTCACATAATAACCGGTATTTCAAAGTCACTTGCAACTATGTTACTCAGGCTAATTTATTCTCTGGTTAATGCAACGATTCCAAGCCCCTTTTCAAAGTTGATTTGGAAAATGCAAGTTCCGGCATCGTACCCATGTCGTATCAGCATGCCGCTGACCGATGAGTATATCAGGGACACATAGTGCCCTGCACAATTCCTAAGCGGTTAAGTGTACACACAATTAGCCACAGCTGTGGCATGCACTCTACAAAGCGTTGGACTACCCCAGTAAGACATAAGACCTTGTCGAACCCACCCGGAGCCTGCTAAAATCATTCCGAGAAAGACAGATCGAAACGCATGCGTGGCGGTGCAGGCCAGGTAGCCTTGCGTTCGTCCCTGGCTATTGTCCTGTGCCATAGACGCGTACTACTGCGATAGGCTGTTATAGCCGTGAGGGTTGTTTTGCTTCTTCTGCTTTCTTTCCGTGTCAGACTGTCATTGGTTTAAACGCGCTTACATAACTGTCCGACCAACAGGGTTCCTTGACCCGCCTGGTACTTGGACCTTCTCCCATCGCAAGGGAAATAGCAAGCCGTTTGTCCCTCATTAAAACGTCCTGAAGAACCGTCTAGGCTATCGGAGATATCGTGAATTCGAAAGAGTCTACGTTCGTGGGTCTGTTCATGGAACCAAAACCCCCGGACCCACCTGCACAGAAACTCAACCGGTCCGAGCTCGGACCGGCCCACTTAGCCGAGATCGGTTCGAAGGTTATTTCGAGGCATGGATAAATCTCCGGTAGGAACGGGAATGTGTTGTTTCCATGTCCCCTAATATTACTTTAATAGGCTATATGTATTTCCAATCATCAAATCTTTAGAGTACTATCGATAGCAGATATCCTAATCGTGTACAGCGTATCTAAGCCGTTCTTCATCTTAAATAAACCTGCTGATCTACGTTGGTTATTCATATAAATTCAAAAGACGAGGAGGGGGGAAGGGAAGATAGGTTAACAACGTATAGGTCTAGCGGTCCATCAAACTAGGATAAATGTGAGTAAAAGCGAAACGAGGCTATGATGTAGGCAATCTTACAATTTGCATAGCAATTGAAATTTAGACTTTGGCTTTAGTTATTCACCGTTCATTCGATACAAGGGCATATCTGCACTATGATTGGTCAGTACAGGCAGTTTTGCCCTCATGCGTTATATTAATCTTTGAAAATATTTCCTCTTCTTTCAAATCATTTCCCTAATATCGAATGTAATCAAAGCGATAATCGCGTTGGTCTCTAGAAGTTTCGTCATCGTCCAACCCCATGTATAGTCCTAAATATTATCAGTCCTTAAGATGTTGAAAACAATCTCCCGAGTCGAGCATCACTGACAAAGTAAATCATGACTGTGTTGCTGCTCATGGAGAAAGATGGAGGGGTCGGTCTATGGAACCTTCCATCGACATGACAAGAGCAAATCGGTTGGTCTAGCGAACCACCCCTAGGTGTGTTTTGTGTTCACAAAGCGCGTTCATCAGGACCTGGATTAGATCTGTCCTTCTGCACAGCTCTGGACAGTCCATGAAAATGGTTGCTTCATGGCTACCGCATAACAATGCTGTGATTGTTTCCCATCAAAGAACTTATACGGAAATCCTGCCACCAGTATACGAAAAGCGCAATATACTTCACGGGCGGTAGTTGCAAGAGACCTCCGAGCACTGGAGTAGTCATTCCAATTATATATATAGTACACCCCCGACCGCACTTGGGCTGTACTGATCTTTGATTAGGACAGCTGCGTCTTTGTCGGAGTCGCTTTCTACCCAGATGTTGGCAGTGATTGTTACATCATCACGCCTTTAATCGCCAGGTCTTGCGTTCTCTCCTTCTATGACAACGTGATTTGGCTCTCTTTGGTCTAAAAGTTGCTCCACACCGCCGACCATATGTCGTCTTTGCTCTTCGATTAAGAGCTCCTGTTTGCCTATGGGCATTGGCATTGATGTATGAAGGGGTATTTGCGATATTGTAAACACGGTGCGCCTCTGGGTCCAAGCAACCAGTAGCCTTGGTAGTAAGCTTCTATCCGGACTCCGAGAGAAGAACATTGTGGCAGAATGTGGTATTGTCCCAAGACTCAGAAGGAAACGATAAGTATATATAAAAGACATAATGTATCGCGAAGTGCTGTTAGGCCGAGTATAGGTAGGAGGGTAAGAACGGCTGTGAACTCAAAAAATGAAATATTAAATATACTGGCTATGCCGCCACATCAATGGTGATGGTCAGAATTGAGGTTTCAAAGCCAACACAGTGGACATGTGGAATTTAGGAAAGGCGTCTGGCAGGTAGTACAGCTATGAACAGGAAGTGGGCTGATTATGGGCGTCATGCTAATATCGATGAGTCGATCGAGCCAGCTTCAGTTAGACCATTGACCCAGTCGTCGAAGGAGGTGTTTTAACCTGAATAGGAGAACGAGACTATCTCAGGTAGATCGGTAAGCCCCCCTTGGTGTCTCTTCGTGAAGGCAACTCTCATTGCACAGCTTGGAGGCGCCAATGTTCTCAATGGCTTCCTTGATGATACCGGTGACTGCGGCCATTGTCTTGCCTGTGTATATGAGAATGCTGGCACTGCTTTTGTTCATCGAGATACTGGTGAAAGAGGACTTCTTTCGATTCATGTCAGAGAGCCGATCACACTTTCAGGTAGGACGACGATCAAGACTTTAGCCCTCATCCCTTGTCTGTGTTAATGAAGAAAACCAACGGCGAAGGAGCTCTCTGACACGTTGGCTGAAGTCTATGGACTTCTTCAAATATGTCACTTGTCACAATAAACATATTTGAGGTTCTTCGCAAAGGCATCGTCTAAATACACTCGATGCGGTCATGATTTCGTCCCTTTTCGTAGACCCTTATTGTGGATTCCCATTGTGACGGACGCCAAATTGATTTGATCTGTAAGTTTACGTCCAGATCTCCATGTACTGGCTTTATGGAAAAGTGAGCTCGTCTGCGTTTAAGGTCTAGGCTTGAGACATTGTTTGTATGTGTTGGACAGATGCAGTGTTGATGAAGTCAATTCGGTAGGTCTATATACCTCAAAGCAGAGCTTGCTAACAGTGACTCATTCTAGAGCATAAGAGGTAAACGCCTAAAACCTGTTTGCCAAGCCGGTGATCAGACCGATCAAGGACCAGCGCCGTCCGGCCATGACTCAGTAGCGGTTTGGGGGTTTTTGTATGCAGATAATGAGCTGATGAAGGAGGAAAAATCAAGACAATACAGGGGCGGACAGACTATATAGTTGATCGAGCGGCATGATAAAACGGGAACATCCACCATATTACAGGTCCATACCTCGTCTTTATAAGCCTTAATGAGAAGCGCAACGGAGTTTACCAGGAAGAGGTCGTGAGTATATTGTTCGGAGATTACCGGAAGTAAATCATATACTGGCCTTAAAAGGGGATTCAAGCTCGGAATAAGTCCAATGCTTCCGTTTTCGCAGTTGGACTTGATGACTCATTTGTATGGCGTAACGATAAGCCCCCAATTGTATAGTTGGACTATAACGAAGATCTAATGAATACTCAACCTCATACTGGTTAACCTGCCAGGATAAATAAATTTGTGGACGCTGTAGCTGCAATACTGTTGCTCCTACGATTCAAAGAGTTGGTCACATTCTTAGACAATATATCATTGGTTCTATATATCTGCTACGCGTGGTGTTGTTTGTCTAACATATTTCTAGACTGGTGCCTTGAAACGCTTATTGTTTCGTAATTATATATTGTATTACTCATATTTGCTCATATTCTATAAGGCTCTGAAAGACTGCACTAATCATTGGCGTAGTTATGTGGAGGCTATCGACGTCGCAGTAAAACAGGCTGGGTTATAGGTTAACTCTAGACGTAACGACGTGTTGTTCTAGGATGATGACCTAGACTGCGTTGTTAATGGAGACAGTATATCACTAAGGAAATGGAGATGTATCTGGACAACTAGGATGAGGTGGAAGATGTTACGAGACGGCCTTCTACGCGGACAGCTGAGTGTTTGTTTACCTCAATGATACGAAAATCTGCAAAATGAAATAATAAAATCAAAAAACGTCTTCATATGTGGGTAAATGTTGGTGGAAGGAATCTGCCAGTAGCAGTCTTGGGTAAATTCTTGGTTTCTAGAGACATCGCCGAAGTAGCGTACAACACTTGACACAACTCTAGGCAGCCACTAGTATCCAATGATACGTGATCAGGAAAACTATCAAATAAACACAGGTGGTCACATACAGTGAAGCCTTCCGAACTGCGGCTCTGTGGGTCTGGCAAAGTTGTTCATAACGTTGAAGACGCTCGACATGATCCATCAGATCACGAGGGTGGCAGAACATCCCGTTCTCGTCCTCGTCTATGGACCAGTCATCGGACTCGTCTCTAGTGTCGAGTCAATCGCTCCTGCTCTTGAGGTTCTCAGATATGACACTAGGAGAATCGTCTTCCACGTACACTTGGTTTTTGAGGGTTATCTCGTCACGGGGACGCTGAATTGGATTGCTCTCGTCCATATTCAGCTCGTCGTCGTTCGGTGTAGGTGCTGAGCTCTTTCCTCTGTCCAGCTCGCTGGACTGATTTCCAGAGGCACCTGCGGCGGTCGCCTGACTGTCGGCGCTCTCTTGGCTTGAAGGGCTTGTCTGACTAAGAGCTGCAGTACCCAGAAGAGGTGCATACGGTTCGGGCTCGGTTTGTGGCAAGGATCGAGCAAGGGTACTGTGAGCATCGAAATACTGACTGCGGGAGTCAAACTCGGATTCTGGAGCGTACCATTTTACTGGGAAGCTATATGGATTAGAGCCCTCTTCAGTCGTGCTATACCAGGCATTCGGAGAAGAGTCCGAAGGTTTGCTGGTGTCCTGGATATAAGAAAGTGTCGACAAAGAGGCATTTATA